AAATTAAACTACTGAGTGCGGCTCCAATGAGGACTTGCTGTGTGCCTGGAACTGTGCACAGCTCAGGGGCACCAAATGGCTCCGCCATGATGAACTGTGCTGGTCTCAGTCAGGAACTACCGTAATTACCATAAAAACAGCTCAGTTAAGGTTTAGACTGGGCTGTACCTTATTACCGTATTACCTGTACATGGTGCAACTTAAGTTTTTAAGAAGTGCTTAACATTTTAAGAAATGCTCCTGGATAGTAAAAATATTACAGATTCACAATAAAACAGATTCAGACATAACAGACCTCAGTGGATCACAATGTTGGATGAATGTACATAGGCTTGAGAGAGAGAAGAATAAGAATATAGAGAATAAAGTAAATGTCTTAAAAAAAGGGTAAAGTCTTTAAAGAGACAGAGTACAGATAGTAAAGAGATTAAAATAAATAAAGAAAAATAAGCCACGTAAAAATGGAAAATTCACAGAGAGTCTGGATTATGTACATTGTGTTTTCTTTAAAATTTTTGACTGTAAAGGAGCTAAGTACAGACAGACATTTCATTACATGGGCTGCCAAGCTAAACCAGAATGGATATAAAGGTATTACGATTTCAAAATTTGGGTCTAAGGATATGATACTTTGGAAAGGGTCTTCTTTTGTTTTCACAGAGGACCAGACCCTGTGGATTTCTTCTATCCCAATTTGGTATGATAGACCACGACCTCCCGAAAAGTTGCTATGAACATCTTCAAAAAATTAATTCACTCAACTGGCAACTGAGATAAACCTGGCACACAGGTTACACCCTAAATGATCTGATTAACAGCGCCCCCATTCAGCAGCAAGCAGTTTGGAGAAAAAAAACTGCGCCCATGTTCCCAAAATATTGTTTGTAAATGTTCTTTTACATTTAAAGGGGGAAATGATATAGGTATGAGTAATTTGCATTGGTGTGGATTTTACAGTCAATTTTGTTATATGTATATGTATTTCTGATCTTGATTAAGGTATTGTGATTGTGTAGTTCATTTAAAAATGTAATGTATAATTAAGAAATATAGGTTAATGGTTAATCATCAATAATAGTCAAGCTTGTAGTCATGTTAGTTAGATTTTCTAGATATATAGAGATACATTTCAGTTAGATAGACATTCTTCATATCTTTCAAAGACTGCAGAATATGGCATTTAATGTTTTAATAACTTAGGACTTTTCATGACAATGAGACATATCTGCTCCTGGCGGCACCAATCTACTTCGAGAGGAAGATGGGCATCGAAGAGGATCCTTATGGAGTTTGATAGCCATTTGGGCAAGAAACTGCTCTTGCCTGGACTGTTGCATAAAATGGACACAGAGAACCCGCAGAGAGAGGACTGCTGAACTTGCCTAAAGGTGAGACGGTCTTTTGGGGTTCATGACTCATGAAAGAGTCTGCGAGACATTCTGCAGGACACAGCAGATAGTGACTGAACTGTCTTTGAAATTTCCTGCTTCATGGAAATGTCTGCTGGATACTATGGGCCTGAAGGCTGAAGATGGATGCCCCAACCATACAAAAGAACTTTGGGCGACTGTCCAGGCAACGAGATGTCTCTGTCATTTCTAGAGTTTTCTTATTTCTTGTTTACTTAGGTAGTATTATATCCTTCTAGAGTCTTTGATGGAGTTGAAGAATAAATAGGTAGGTATAGTTTTCCTTAGTTATGATAAAAGATAAAATAGATATAAATATTGTAACTGTAATTCTTGCTTGATAACTGTTTTGCTATATGTAATTTTACTATGTTAAAGTTAAAGCCTTTCTTTTTTGTTTAAACAGAAAAAGGGGAAATGATGTGGGAGTGATTTCTTATTAATAAAGAAACTGCCTAGACCCATTTGATAGGCCAACCCTTAGGTAGGCGGAGTAAACAGAACGAAATGCTGGGAGAAAGAAGCTGATTCAAGGAGTCGCCATGGTTCTCCCACTCCAAACAGACGCAGGTTAAGATCTTTCCTGGTAAGCCAGCTCGTGGGCTACACAGATTAATAGAAATGGGTTAGATCAATATGTAAGAGCTAGCCAATAAGAAACTGAAACTAATGGGTCAGGCAGTGTTTAAAAGAATACAGTTTCCGTGTAATTATTTCGGGTAAAGCTAGCCGGGTGGCGGGACACAGCCCGCCACTCCGTAATACAACAGTGACCATCTATGAGGAAAAAATGTTAAACCTAAGACACTAGATATGAAACAAACAATAACTGGAAAGATGTGAACAAACTAGATAACCTTATTTATATGAAACAACAAAGCACAACAGCTGATTTCACTAATATGGTGCCAACCCATCGAGCACCACATTAAAAAAAAAACAACCTCTATGTTGTTTAAACATAATCAGAAATGCTGATGCCAGAGTATAAAGGAAGTAGAAAGGAGTGTCAATGGAAAAGTGATTTCATATAATTATATACTCTCAAAAATCCAAATCAAATTTAAATGCCTATAGCTCAGCATTAAATAAAAAAATTAAAATGAGTATGCTCACAATGAAATAAAAGGATTTCTAACTGTTGAAAAAGAAATACTGTACAGTAATTAATAATTCAAATAATAATACTATAAGTACTTGGGCAAAAAAGCAGCAATTACATCTTTCACCTGGGTTTGATTCAAACCATTTAGAAAAATAAAAGCAGTGGAGGAAGACTTTTCCAACAGAACACACCAATTATCTCAAAATTAAAAGTTATAATCTTCCATTGATACTTACAACTATTCACATTAAAAATAACTTACCTTTTGGGACTAAGACCTCATACCAAACTTAGTAAGTCCTGCTTAGCAAGACAAACTATAAACTAATAAATTCTATTTGCTCATATAGGCAATAACACTTCTGTCATTATTAATATCTTGTTGAGGGAAACAGATCACTTAGAAAACAGTTGGTTATCAGGAAGTACATTAAGAACCTCACCACATCCTCATCCATCTTACAGTATTGCATGCTGAACTGTGCCCATTCATAACCATGTCTGTACTCTAAACCACAGAAACCCAGATCCAAAGGTTCACCTTTCAACTATGACTAAACCCTGTTAAGGTGATGTTTTCCCTTGCTGCAGTAAGTTTAATAAACTCAACATTGCTGGATCATAGCTCTTTCAGGTGGTCTTTTGGAAACATTGACCAGCAGCAATGTGCTATCCAACCTAAAGGGTTCTCTTAGACATCATTTAAATCAAGTGTGGGTAATATTTCCACATTTTTAAGTGCTCTGAAGGTACCACTTTGTGGACTTTTATCAGAATAACCAAAATCAGTATCAGTTGGCAAGAGGAGAACTAGTATTTGCAAAGAATTTTGGGTCCATTCTGAAAATAATGCATACTAACATGGCCACTTAGCCTCCCCAAACCAAAAAAAAAAGAATTAAAAACAAAAAACAAAAATTTTTAGATACATAAAAATGAACGAGTAAATAAAAGAAAAACCCAACATCACGGTGAAAATATCAACAGTAATCAGATGTTTAATAAAAGAGACATTTCTTGTCCTTCATTACGAAGACAATATTATTTAAAAACAGTTTCCCCAAATTAATTTATTAAAGTTGATGAAATTGCAGTCTAAACTGTAATTTCTTCCAACACGAAGACATGTGAGACAGGAGGCAGAAGAGACACACATCCACAGAACAAAAATGGAGCCATTCACAGATGACAATACAGCACAGGTGCAAGATGGCTTACAGATAAATGGGCACTTATTGGCAAATAATCATAAGTAATGGCAAATAACTTGGCAGCTTTAAGATTTCAAAACAAAATTCTTTTCATGACATAAGAATTTGACATAAAAAACACAAAAGAGCTACGATTAACAAAGGAGTGGGGCTTTATGGGCTTACGATATTTTTGTTTTTCAAAAATGACATGAAACTCAGAAGCCATAAAAGCAAACATGGTTATAGTTGGACATGTAACAATAATACACATTCTTATAACAAAACGAAGTTCAAATGTGAGAAAAACATGTAATGTTTGACAATCCAAATCTTATTTTTCTCCAAGTGTAAATATGATCTTTAAAAGAGACTAAAAGCTCCACATACTCTCAAACTTTGACATAAAGAAGAAATTAAAAATACAGATGGCTGATAAACATGAAAATGATCAAACTCAAAAATAAAATAAATACAATTTAAGACAATTGTTTGGACTAACACATTGGGAAATATCTCAAATATTTGTAGAACCCATTATATGTGGATAATGAAGATGGTAGTCTAAGTCGTTGCCATTGAGGAGAAGGCTACTAAAGCTCATTTAAAAGGAATTATGATTATTTAAATTTTTTGAAGTGTAATTATACTTCATTCTAATAATTTAAGTGCTAGGTAATTTTATTATAATAGAAGGGACAAATACATAATTGTTGAATATATATATATATATATATATATATATATATATGGAAGTTCATTTCACAGAAATTTAGCACCTACATAAATGCCTATAAATGAGCAATCTTTAAAACATTTAATTCTAGTTCATCTACAAATTAGTTATGCAGTTATTCAAAAAATGATGTAGATATTAATATAGTACTGAAATAGGAAAAGCTCATCAAAAGACTCTTAAACAAAAGTAACAATTTGTGTAAGAGTATAAGCTGACTGGTAGAAGTCCCCCCCCCCCAGAAAGCACGTGTATGTTTCATATATTTGTCTGCTTAAGAGCATTTATATCCATTCCTTAATAGGGGAAAACTGTAGAAAACTTTTGACTATTTTGAAAGAGAGGAGGTCCATAATTTATGTATTAATCATATAAGTATACTTTGAGATTTTTTTAAATCATGCAATTCCTTTTTAATATGTCATATTTTAAAAATTAGCAGTGTATATTTATAGGAGCACTGAATGTTTCCACTATTTGGAGCTTGTGCAATATTATTTCCTCTACTGAGGCTCCTGGGATTGAGTCAAGTGGCAGCAAGGGAAACAGTCACCACGCACAAATTAAAGTTTCATCGATGATATCCCAACATGAGCATTTCTCAGTTAAGCATTTCTTATCTGCAGATGGTGTCTGCTGCTACACAGGAAAGAGACATCAGCAAGTATAATGACGACTGTCTTGAGGAATCTGCTGGTGGAAGAGATGGCACCGTCCATAATGTTTCCAATTCATCTGCCAGGACAAAGAGGGAAAATTGGCAGGTTAGGAACACATGTGCTAAGGAGGCAGCGAGTTGGAAAATTCTTTACTGTACACCTGTATGTACTAGAACTAATTGTCTTATTATACACAGAGAAACGCGCTTGTCTACAAGCTTGGAATTGTGCTGCAATCAGAAAAGGTGCTTCTTTCTTTCTTTCTTTCTTCTTTTTCTTCTTTCTTCTTCTTCCTTTTTCCTTCTTCTCATTCTTATTGTTCTTCTCCTACTACTTCTTTTTTCTTCTTCTTCTCCTCCTGCTCTTCCTTCTCCCTCCTCTTCCCCAACCTCCCTCCACTTCCCCCCTCCTCCTCTTCTTTTCCTTCTCCTATTCTTCTCCTTTTCTTCCTTCTCCTGTCTCCCCTTTTCCTTCCTCCTCCTCATCTTCTTCGTCTTCTGCCTCCTTCCACTCTTCCCTTCTTCTTCTGGTTAAAAGTAACAGTCCACATCGAGGAACTTGGAATTTTTTTTTTTTTGCGGATTTTCTTCTTTCTTCTTTTCACCTTTATTCTGTAGCTTAAAACATTAGGTCAATGATATCACAAAAAATTATTTGTCAAGTTTGCATTTTTTAATCTCAGAGACTATATTGTGCCTCACACATAAAATAGTCTTCTAGTCACACAATAGAAACAGTCTTCAGAAGCAGTTTAGCTAATTTGATAGGAGCAGAAAAAAGTCAACTAAATTCTTCATAGTCACAAAACATGGGCAGCAGAAAATCAAAGAAATTCTTCATAGTAACAACATAAACTGGGGTGCAGAAATGCTTCAAAGATGTGTTTTAAAGAAAATTAATTATTTGCTGGTTATACAGTTTGATCAATAGGGTCAAGTAAAATATTCCCAAATGTTATCCATTTCAGGAAATTAAAATTTCATTTTATATGGAGATAAAATTTCTAGAAAGACTTCTAGAAAGCGAAGACTACACTTACCAAAAACCTTTCTGTTGTTGTTTAAATGATAATGGCCTCCATTAACTCACATGTTTGAATACTTGGGCCTCAATTGATATAATTATATAGGAAGGAGTAGGAGCAATAGTTTAGTTGGAGGAAGTGTGTCACCTGAGGTGAGCTTTAGTGATTCAAAAGACTCATATCATTACCAGTGTACTCTCTCCCTTCTGCTTGTAAAACAAGATGTGAGATCTCGCATGTTCTTGCTGTCATGTCTTACTCTGCCATCACAGACTCTAAACCTCTGGAACCATAGCACAATTCAACTCTTTATTTCATAAAATGCATTGATTTTTTTGTGTTTTATCATAGCAATAAAGAAATCAAATAAAACAGAAATTGATAACAGGTATGATGTATTACTATGAATAACCTGATTAATATTTTTGCAGGAGTATGGAATTTTTTAAATCTTTGGACTAGAAAAATGGTAGACCACAGTAAAAAGAGCTTAATATGCTATCCAGGAAAGACTAGTGGTGAGAGCAGTCTGAACTATAGAGGCCTGGCTCAAGAAACTTTAGAAACACTATTATCAAATGGAATATAAGCAGATCTTGTGATATTTACGCAAAGAATTTGGATGCCTAATGCACTTGTCCTAAGAATTTACCTAAAGCTAAATTGAAAAGTAATGAATTAATGTCCTGAAAGATGTTTAAATCAAATCAATATTGTTTATGTAAGGTAATTATTTTAATCACGTTTAGGCGGGTTATAATGTAAAAGAGTGAACGTAGCAAAAAAAAAATATAAAATGTACACTGAAGAGAAAAGGCATGTGGGGAAGTTTACTCTTGGAACCAAGGCTTGTACTGAAAGAGATAAGGATATCAAGAGGACGCCTAATCCAAAATGTAATTTTTAAAAGTAAAGATTTCCCTTTAGGTCATGACATCAGCCAGCTAAGCTTTCAGTTTGTTATCCTAAAAGGCAACAATAAATAAAAGTTGGTGCAAACAAAATTTAAGAGGGCCAGGCTCCATCCTAAGTGGGATCTAAACGGCAAGGAACATCTATGTGGTTCTGGTTTTAGAGTCAAGAGGGATACACAAAAAGTTGTAGAATTTTCCTATGGTTGAAAAGAGCCAATGAGACTATGTAAGGAAGTCCCTACATAGGGGCCCTGAAATGGGAAAGAGACCCTGAGAAACCATTGCATAAAGTGGTGAAAATTAAGATTGCATAATATTGGAAACCCCAAAGTATTGCACGTGACAGAACTGTGGGATATCTGCACAGTAGAGTAGAAGATAGGAAACGTAATCAGTCCGAGGAATACAAAAATGTTGCGGACTGGATACTGGAGGGTTAGAGATGACTAAGACCTCTGAAATCAGACAAAGAGCTACAGAGTTTGGAGTTTGCCTTTCTTGGTTTTGGTCTTGCTTTGGTCCAGTATTTCCACACTATTCTCTGATTTGTCCCCTTTAGAATGATAATGCATATTCTATGGCATTAAATGTCAGAAGCATGTAACTTGCATTTTAATTTTACAGAGTGTTATAAGTAAAATATTACTTCATGTGTCAGAAGAGACTTTGGGTTTAAAAGCAGTATTGAGACTGTGAAATATTATGGGGCTTTTTTAGGTTGGACATTTTGCTTCATGATATGACCATGAGCCTATATAAAGACCAGGGAATGTAATGCATGATTTGAATGAGAATGTGGCCTCCACAGTTCATGTCTCAATTGTTTCACAGATGATGAGCCTGCTGTGGAATGATTAGGATTGGCTTTGTTGTAGGAGCTTTGTCACTGGGAGAAGTCCTTGAAGTTTCTTGATATTTCCAGTGTGCTCTCAGTCTCCTGTTTACAACTTAAGATATGTCCCCTCAGATCTTCCTTCCGCCATGCCTTTACTTCACCAGCATAGAACCTCTACAACCATGAGCCCAATTAAATGTTTCATTGGTTTACTAAATGATCTTTTTAATATTTTGTCACAGAAATAGGAAAGTAATAATAGATATACCTTCAGAGTATGGCTTTTGTATAATATATGGTGAAAAATGTTGGTCTGAGTAGTCTTCATTCACATATTTCCTGGTCTTAATCATTCCCTGTAGAGACTTCTGGAGTAGGTCTTTTTCTGAGTAGAAAGCAAAAAAACAAACAACATTAAAAATGACACAGGCAAATATAGATGAAATCTCTAGAATTCACTGTTTCTTTTATTTTGATTCCATTTGAAAGCTGTCTTTTATTTATACAACCCTGAAGCCATAAGTATATATTCCAATTATCTATATTTGTTTCTGAGTACACAATCAGGTCCTTCACCTCTTATGCACTCCAAAACTTAGTGAATTGAATCTCAGTAAAATTCATGTTTCTAACTTTCTTTAGAAAACATTTATCTCTCACTATTTAAAGAAATATGTTATCCATGGAGTAACTAAATAACCTTCTCATAGATTTAATTATCAATAAAAATTATTTAAAACTTGCTCTATGATGAGAAATGTCCTATGCCACAAAAAGTAAAAGTAAAAATATGTGACCAAAATTAGTCAAAAGTTCATTCAATTGATTGATTATACAAATACTGGGCTTAGATGTAATAGTCTAAAAGATGGAGATTAAATCCAAAAAGAACTTCCCAAAGCAGGAATACTCATTATGACAACAAAGCTATAACTCTTTATAGCTAAACACATTGATCTGAAGCTTGGATAAGATTTTATGATGTCTGACTGCAACCAAATGTCATCAAGATTGAGTACAACTGCTAACAACACCCATGCATCTTCAGTCCCTTTCCTAAAAAAATGTAGGTCCTTGCTCACATAGTCATCACACCTAGCAGATGTCCAAGAGGCTATAAATAGGAATAGACACCTTGACTGAAAGAAGTTTCCCACTTATTCTGCATTAAGGTCAGGGTATTAACTGCGATTAAATTTTGGGGTATATCATCACCCAAGAGGAAAAACAAACAGCAACATATAATGTACACTCTCTCTTGTACTTTAATAAAACATTCAGGAAGTATGAGTATGGAGTGTCATGAGTAGATTTGAAAGTAATATGTTTGCTACATATTCTGTCAGGCATCCAAAAATTCACAAACATTCTATTTAAATATAAAAATTATGTATTAACAATATTTGGGAATATTGGTATGGTTCTCTTCAAACTGCTTCCTGGTTTTGTTGGGGAAGTATTTTCTTTTGGGGGATTTTCACAGAGAACTTTCAGGTGGTCTTGTTCTATCAAACCATATTAGTCTGGAATGATTCCACAGGTTCTCATCCTCCGTGGAAACAAAAGAAGAACCTCTTTTCTAAAGCAACATAGCCTTAGACTCAAATTTTGAAGACAAAATACCTTTAAAGTATATATGTTGGATACTTAGATCCTTTACAGTAAAAAAAAAAAAATACAAAAAAAACACAATAATATATATAATCCAGATTCTCTGTGTCTTTTTCATCTTTTCAAGGCTTTGTAACAGGAGGAGCGGGCTGCTTGTTGTCCCAGGACCCAGCTATCTTACACCCAAAATAATCACACAGAAACTGTATTCATTTAAACACACCCTGGCCTATTAGCTCTAACTTCTTATAGGCTAATTCATACATCTTAAGATAATCCATTTTTATTAATCTGTATATCACCACGTGACTGTGGCTTACTGGCAAGATTCTAACCAGCATCTCTCTCAGGCAGAAGATCCATGGAGTCTGCCATTTTGCCCTTCTTCCCAGCTTTCAGTTTTGTCTACTCTGCCTACCTAAGTTCTGTCATATCAACTAGGTCAAAGCAGTTTCTTTATTCATTATCCAATGAAAGAAACACACAAACAGAAGGAATTTCTACATCAAGGCTCTTTTTTGTTTTTACTATTATTTTTTAATATTTATTTTATTATCTTTACTCCTTTAATCTATGATTGTCAGTACTCTGTTTCTTTAAAGACTTTGTATTTATCCAACACTGTGATTCATTTAGAGTTCTTTTATGTCTGAATCTGTCCTATTGTATATCTATAATTCTGTGTACTCCATTATTTTAGCATAATCAAATAGATTTGAGATTTCAATTCTCATCTACTTTAAAAATGTTTCAATAACAATCACAATCCTCCATATCGCTTTATGTTTAAATGCATTATCTATCCAAAGTAAGAGTGAATCAACAGTTTACCCACTTAGGAAAACTGGAGGGAGTGATATTATGGAAGAGGAACAAAGACAGTAGCTCTCACACAAGTAGAACTTAACTGGAGGCCCTTAGATTAAGTATTTCCATCTGTACTCACAGGAGCACAGAATTCAAATAATGTCAGAGTATACAAGAAGTTGGTCTGTTGAATTTTGTATGTATATATTTGAGAAATAAAATGCAGACATTGTAAAAGGAAAGAACTATCATTCGAGCAATAAGGCAATTTCTGCTTGTTTAGAATATTACCAAAAGAAAGGCAGCTTGCATACTTACCATCAATCATTCTTTGACAGCTGAACTTCATAATGCTTCCTGTTGAACAGAGTTTTGAAATCATTAAGGGCCAGAGTAATAGCACATTACTGTATATGTATGGATCTGTATCAAATATAATGTATTTGGTGATGAAAATTCTTACTGACATATATATGGATGGAGACCCTAGCCAGCTAAGTTTATAAAAGTAAATATCATTGTAGAAGATACATAACTTTATGTATTTATAAAACTAGGAAGACACGGGGCTGGGGAGATAGCTAAGTGGTTAAGAGCATTGCCTGCTCTTCCAAAGGTCCTGAGTTCAATTCCCGGCAACCATATGGTGGCTCACAACCATCTGGAATGAGGTCTGGTGCCCTCTTCTTGCCTGCAGACATATACATAGACAGAATATTGTATGCATAATAATAAAAATAAACATTAAAAAAAACTAGGAAGACACATATTTATCGAACATTGAAGTTAAGATAAGGTATGGCATAAGCAATGATATGACTGCCTCTAAATGGATAAAGAAATAAATCTTCTATAACTACTGTTTCCCACAAAGCTTGCTACTTTTGAGCTTTGGGGTAAGACATACAAGAAGTAGCTTGCTCCCTCTTATCAACATCACTTTCATCTACAAAGCACAGGGAAGATCAGAAAACTGAGAAGATAAACTTCCCTAGCAGGATACTTAAAAAGTTGTTGCAGGAAATTTACTGATTGAGGAAGATCATTGGTTAATAAAGAAACTGCCTTGGCCCATTTGATAGGCCAGCCTTTAGGTGGGTGGAGTAGACAGAACAGAATGCTGGCAGGAAGTGAGGCAATCGCCATGCCTCTCCTCTCTGGGCCAGACGCCATGGATCCAGCCACCAGGTCAGACATGCTGAATCTTTCCTGGTAAGACGCCACCTCGTGGTGCTACACAGATTATTAGAAATGGGTTAAGCAAGGTATGAGAGTTAGCCAAGAAGAGGCTAGAGATAATGGGCTAGGCAGTGTTTAAAAGAATACAGTCTCTGTGTAATTATTTCGAGGCATAAGCTAGCCAGGGGGCCAGGAGCCGGGCGGCAGGAATGCAGCCCGCAGCTCCTTCTACAATTTACCAGTTATTTTCTGGGTTATCTATATAAGTTGAACAGTTAACTTGATGAAATGGAATCATTTATAAATGTTTTCTAAAATACCAGTTTTAGAATTTCCTCATCACACCCAATACAACACTCACAACACTTATAATTTTCACCTATCTGTCAACGCATTGAAGACCCAGTGAGGGCATGTAAAAGTCTCTAAGAAAACCAACATAAACAAAGGAATTAGAAATAAGATTAGCATGTGACTAAAAATGTCTAATGCAGCATATGAATATAGAAGAATTTGCTTCCATTCTCCTCTAAGGGTAAGGAAAGAAATTTTATTTAAAGTCCAGTGTGTAAGTGTGTAAAATTACTTTAGCTTGTGAGAAAACCATAAAGAAATAAATTTGAAATCTTATGGAGTAGTTGGCAAGTGGATTAAAGTCTACTATGAAGATTCCAAATATAACATGTTTCCTAGGTTGATTTTTTCCACAGACTTCTTTTATTTACTACAAAAATAAAAAGCTGCATGATAGTGGTGCATGCCTTTAATCCCAGCACTTGGGAGGTAGAGGCAGGTGGATTTCTGTGAATTTAAGGCCAGCCTGACCTACAAGAGCTAGTTTCAAGATGAGCCCCACAGCTACAGAGAAACCCTGTCTTGAAAAAACAAAATGCAAAGAACAAGAGGAAAGAAGAAAGAAAGGGAGGGAGGGAGGGAGGGAGGGAGGGAGGGAATGAAGGGAAAGGAAGGAAGGAAGGAAGGAAGGAAGGAAGGGTGAAAACAATATTCAGTTAAAAATGAGGCAGTTTTTCTTGCTGTAAGAAAAGCAAGCATCATGGAAAAAAATCCCAATATCTCAAGAAAAAGAGTGAATATCTAAAATATAGGTTGGAACAATAACTTTTTTCCTTTTTCTCTCTTCAAGACCTAATATTCCAGTGTCTCCTTACCATATATATATTTGTTCTATAGGCCGAGTACTACGTACCATTACTGTACTCTAATCAAGTATATAGAGATCACTACCCAGTTTAGTTTTTCTTATTTATGTAAGCATGTGGGTTTCCAATACTACTGTTCTTACTGAGTGTACAAAGGGAGATGGAGACTAAGTTCTCCATCTGTCTTTTACTTTGTCTGTTGGTCCTCCTCTTCACAGACTTGATTTCACAATGCATTTTTCTAGAATTTTCAAAAATATCAATTATGATAGCCATCCCTGAAATACAAGTTTTGTTCATGTTGTTTTGTTTTTTAAGAACCTTCAGAAAAAGACCAGGATCTAAGCACCCTAGAACACATTGTGTTGGGACCTACTGACCGGCCACATACAGTCATGAAGACCACTCCCACGCAACAGCAATAGAGCACCTTTGTTGCACAAACAGCATCTTAAAGACTATTATTGTGTAATAATTAAAATGATAGTATGTCAGTAACTTAAACAGGAAATTATTTAGCAATTTAAGAATTTTTAGTAGTCCCTGAAGATGTAATATCAGATATCACTCTTGATATTTTCCTTCTCATCTCATGCTGAAGAAACAAACTTTCCTAAAAATTCCAGTGCTTTGTACTTGCTGATCTTTGGCAACAGCCTAATCCTATTGAAAGATGAGACATTAGTTCTACCTACAAAATAAAAGGACATGTTAACTCATGTCCTACAATGTTCTTCAATAGTTAGTGTGTTTGTCTATAGCCCCCTGAATCAAATATTTTCCAACAAGTTCTACCAGGCAAATTAAATGGAACCATCCTCGGAATGGTTAAGATTCCATTAATAATAATACACAGCAAAATCTGTATTTTCAAACCCAAATCAGGCTACCTTAAAATTTAAGGCTTACACGATTCATTAATTGTCAAAGAAGTGTCCAAAAGCCATTATGAAGGAATAAATGAACAATTTTCGAAAATTGATTCCAACATTCATATTCCATGAGCTTGTAAAGCTACCAGTTTGTAGAGGACAAAAAGGGGTATGCTACATAACATTTAACAAAAAATGCTCACAGCATTTCAGGCAGAGTTCACAAAAATTAAAGTAAATTTGGACTCTATTACAGTAATTGGATGTGGGCACAGTAGACAAAGAAACACACTGTCTCTCTTATCATGACTCTCTAACCTAGAATTAAGAGTGGGGTTCTCTAGCCATCTTTCTGATGTCTCAGAAATGTTCAGGGAAGCCAAACTCCCCTTCATCACAGCAATGAGGAGGAACATTTCCATCAGTCTGCACATATAGTTTCCATATAAGGGTCTTAAGAAAGAAGTGTCCCGGAATTGCAAAAGAGAATAAAGTGGCAATCTTATTGTATCCACTGTATCACTAGCAATTTTCCTAAATACTTGGCAATGATAATATTAACAATAGGAAACAGAAACAGTAAAAGAAACTAGAGTATATCATTGTGTTCTTTCTCAGAAAAAGAAGCTGCTTCAGCGTTTCTGAGCATGACAATAGGAAACACATGTTAAGTGTGGTATCAGTTTGGACACGGGTGAGCTTTAAAAAGTTAAGAAAGAAGATGGTTTAAATTGAATGCTGACAAATAAGGCATTTTAAGGAATTAATCATTTTGTTCAGGTGCCAAGGAGATTTATCTTTGTCAGTCCACATTGTCAGTAATCACATTCATAAAAGTGACCTTGATCCTAATATATCTGGCAGACCATGAGTCATGTTACGTAGTTGACGACCAATCCCATGGTTACTTTCCACAGGCAATGCTGTGGTTTTCTGAGAAGAATTACTAACGTCATACGGGTGTTATACCTTGTTGCCATTGAACCATGAAGTAGTTGCTGGTCTCATTATATTCATTATCATTTCTCTGTGCTTCTCAGTGATGGATTCATGTTGAGCTGCAAGAATGGAGAAAAAGAGAGGAAAAAGGTGCAAATCAGATATTAACTGTTCAAACTGCCTGTGAGGCTCCACATTGTTGGCACTTTCTGAAGCCTATCTTCATATATTTTTCAGTGCCATTTGCTAAGTGACAGAGTTCACATTCTCTTAATTTTTATGTTCTTGATTTTCTGTTTTACTTACAGGGAAAGGGTGTTGTAAGAAGGCCGCCTGTTTGTTCTCCGACCACCCAGCATCTCAGCTCCAAAATAACCACATAGAAACTGTATTAATTAAGTCACTCCTTGGCCCATTAATTCTAGCTTCTTATTGGTTAACTCTTACATCTTAATTTAACCCATTTCTATTGATCTGTATATTGCCACATGGCTGTGGCTTACAAGGTAAAGTTCTATCCAGTCTGTCTCTGGTGGGGCTACATGGCATCCCTAAACTACCTTCCTTCTCCCAGAATTCAGTTTAGTTTTTCCCTGCCTACCTCTAGTCTTTTGTCTTGTCATAGGCCAAAACAGTTTCTTATTCACAGCACACAGAGGAGAATCCCACATCCAAAGGGTATGTCAGTCTATTTGGTATCCCACTACAGGAACTTCAGATAAGTGAACTGATCAAACAACATTGAAACAGCTCTGATCATTAGATTACAACTCAACCATGTTCTATGAAAGCCTGACATAAAATTTAAAAACCGTAAAACCTGAAAAGCTCACATGACAATATTAGTTAATTTTCTGTTGCTGTGGTAAAATACCATAACCCAAAGCAAACTATTGGATAAAGAGCTTGTTTTGGATTGTGGTTCAGAAGGAAAGGCCATACTGGTAAAGGAAGAATATCAGCAGTCATCTGTAGTGAGCGGCTAAGAGATCATACCCTCAATGGCAAACACAAGTCAGAGAAAACAAAGTGGAGGTATGGAGATGCTATAAACTCTCAAATCCCACTTCCAGCAGGCATCCACATCCGAAAGTTCTAGAACTCCCCCAACATTACCACCAAGTACTCAATTATATTTAGCCCATAGTGTACATTTCTTATCCAAACATATGCTGACATTTATATGTGTGTATATATAAATTTATATATAGGATCTGAACTTTCTAATACTAAAAATTAACCAAATAAGACCTAAAAAAATTATAAGAACAAGTAAAATCAGGAATAGTATAAACACAAGAAAATATTCAAGAAAAAAAATCATGAACAGAATAAGAAAACAATCAACTGGTAACAACCACCCTCAGATTATACATTGTGGTTGTGAGACAAAAATTTTAAAATTTATGTTAAAACTGTTTTAGTAAGTATTGCATCCTCTTGAAACAAATGAAACAAAAAAACTACAGATATGCATCAGATGTAAGAGAATGGATCAATGCAAATAATCAACCCAATCAATCATAACAAAAATGAAAGCCTTGCTGGATAGGATTAATGTACGTCCTAATTAGATATTCATTTTTAGTGGATGGTTAGGTTGAATCTGTATGAGAACTATGATTGAGTCTGAAGCTAACATGATACATCAGTATCTTTCCAATATACTAGTTTCAATGACTGTAAATATTATCCTGACGGTTATATTGCTGAACATGTGGTAGATATACTATGACATTTTTTGACATTTTTAATGAAACACCAAGGTGCTTTTCATAGTGACTGCATTAATTTAAATTCCTACCATATAAATGTATATAAATGTTCCTTATCTTCTGATCATTTCAGGCTAAAAGGCTTTTGGCCATCCACACATGTGGGTAACCAGATGTTCCTTTGTCTTGGATAAACATGGTCCTGCCTAAGGTCAGAGAAAGCCTCACTTTCTGCTCTCTGTCTTTCAATAACTCCCTCAAATACGCTAACAAGTTTTGCATCCTCAGCAACATTTTATTTTTGTTTTCTGTATTTGATAATAGCCACTCAAATATACTTGAAGTGGCATTTTGATGAAATTCTGATTTACATTGTTTTGATAATTAGTGGGTATTGACATTTATTCATGTACTTGCTGATTACATGTTTATCTAGATCTATTTTACATTTTTAAATTAGGTTACCAATTTTTAATTTGTTTGAATACATTATTTAGATAACTAGCCTTGTCAGATATATGGTTTATAATTTTTTTATTTTATAGACAATTTATTCATTCTGACCATTACATATGTCACTAAGGAAAAGCTTTTTAGATTTGTATTATACTATTTGTACATCATTTTGTTGTTGTTTGTTTTGTTTGCTTTTGTCTATGCTAGGGAAGTCACACTTTACTCTTGTTTCCTTCCAGTAATTTTACAGGTTTACATTTACTTTTAAAATTTTAGCCCATTAAGTTTATTTTACATACAGCATGAGAAAAGAGTATCACACAAATATATTGCATATGGATATCTAGCTTCTTTTTAACAGTATTGATATTCTACGGTGCATACTTTGAAACCAGACAATCAGACAGTTGTGTAGCTAGTCCTTTGGCAATAGGACTATTAACAACAAAGTTACTTAAGGAATTTGAATCATTAGGTGGAGCTTGGAGAACCCTACAGTAGAGGGGTAAAGGATCAACTAAGCAGGGCTCATAGGAGCTCATAGGGACTCACAGAGACTGAAGTGACAATAACACAGCCTCTATTGGTGTGAACTAGATCCTCTTCATATATGTTCTGGTTATGTAGCTTGATGTTCTTGAGGGACTCCTAAGAATGGAAGTGGATCTCTGAATCTTGCCTGAACTCAGGACACTTTCCCTCACAACAGCTTGCTTTGTCTTGCCTTATTATGAGGATTTGTGCCTAATATTATTGCAACTTATTATGCTGTGTTTGGTTGATATCTCTGGGATGCCAGCTCTTTTATGAAGGGAAATGGAAGAAGAATAGATCTGAGGGAGAAGGTCTAGGAGTCTAGGAAGAGTAGATAGAAGGGAAACTGGTCAAGATGTAATGTATGTGAGAAGAATAAAAAAAAAGAAGTTTTAATTTTCCATGTCTCTGCTGAAATAAGTAGGAAAATGCTAAAATTCCATCTAGAAGCCAAAGGGCCAATTTGAATTTCAGGAGAATGGGCAGAAGCATACCTCCAAAGGGACTGCCTAGTTATTTGCAACTTTACCTAGCTTAAGTATGAAACTACAAATGAAGATGAAGGGGGCACCACTGAGGAAAGTTTCATTTAAATTAATATACCAAATAGTCAGTTTGTAGAAAGACTGACACCCACCTGAATGGAGTTAACAAACAATGCATAAGGAAAAAAAAAGTAAATGAACTTTAAGTAAGTTTCTACTCTTTCCCAACTCCCTGACCTGTTTATGCTCTTGTGAGTGCATTTTCTCCTAAATGAACTGTCTGTTTATATCACTATACACATGTTCTTGATCCATTTCCTTGTTTTGGGACCCAAGTATCTGGAAATCCCAAATCAGAACTACAGCTATAACAGTAAATTATTTTTATCTCCCTGCAATCCAGTCAGGAGATAAGATTTATATCTGGAATCCCTAAGAACTATGAATGAGAGGGACATGAGTGTTCTTATATTTCTCTTTTTTCTATAACAAGGACACCCCAGTTTCCAGTATATATCTTCCTTCCCTCTCATTTCAACTTTGCAGAAGCACTCACAAATAGCAAGGAAGCTACTTAGGAGAGGCCTGCAGAAAGCTTGGGGCACTAAATCTAAGGAATCTGTGGTTGTCTCCTTCCTGGGGCTTATGGTACCCTTCTCTTGACAAGGTGCTGCAGTTTCTGCTAGGACAGTTCCAGGGTCACATGTTTAGAAAGAAGAAAAGAATTGATTTGTTGAACAAAAATACCCTCAAGTGTGCAAGTGGGTTGTTGAATTGGAGCAAAAGAGCTAAAAAGTGTTGGGCTATCAGTTGGAACTCTAAAACTGATTCTCTTTTCTCTCGATGAATCACTTGGATGGAAGTCAGGTACCTGCATGGTTCCACTGAATTTAGGCTTTCTGGTGTTATTTGCTTAAGTGGATTGTTGGTGAATTCTTTCTGAAGTTCTTGGACCATACTTGGTTTGGTTGAAGGCACTTTTGTTAGGATCCTAATTTGCTAGATATCCTATTGTATCTGCTTTCAAAATATGTGTTGTGGTAATATACTATGAAAACATAAATCTCTTAAATTCTAAGAGACTGGAACATTTGCTGGACCTCCCATCCAGGGTTAAAGATACAACTCGAGGTCACACTTGCACAGCCTAAGACAGCTATTCTTCTATATATTCAGCTTGTTTGCTTAATCTGACTATAAGAGAACAATGCAACAAATACCTTAATTGCCTTGAATTTCTCATGTAATCAAATTTGACAAACTAATTGAATGCATAGCTGGAATCTTAAAGTATGTCCCCATTTGCACCCCTGGCAGAAGATAAAGCATGTGTATATTTGGCTAAAAGTAAAAGAGTCAGAATCAAACAGATTTCCAAGGAGAGGGGCAACATATAAATAATAGTGGTGAAGTTCCAGACTTCCTCCTCACTCTCCTGACCTGAGACAAAACCCTGGCAGCTTAAAACGAATGCCTTGTAGGCATTCTCTCCTGACAGTAAGCCCCTGATGTTAGACTGGCTTAAAAACTGTGGGGTCAAATCAGGCCATGCTTATGTAATAGTAGTGAGCCAGTCAACCATTCCATCTTTCTTCAAACTGATCAAGCCTCAATTAAAGGAGGGAGATCCTTCAGAAACTAATATCAGTCTTTTAAATGAGAATGAATTTTTCTGCTTTATTGGGGATTTATTTTTCTCTCAGTGGATCTCATACTTTGTGTGTGTGTGTGTGTGTGTGTGTGTGTGTGTGTGTGTGTGTGTCTTCCCCTTTATTTTGTTTGCTCTTGTTCTCTTCTGCTACCTGTTGAGGTATTTTTCTTCCTTTTAGTTCTTTAACCGACAGAGAAAAAATGAACATGATTAAAAACCTCTAGATAGTAACAAATATGGCAAATATAGAAGTTGAAAGCAAGCCTCTAATATGAATAATCATCTGTGTGTATTGTTTGATAAACAATGATGTTTGCACTTATATTTGTTGTCTTAGTTAGGGTCAACTGGAGCCAGTGACTTAATCCCTTGTAAAACTCTGTTATAATTTCCCATCCATTCCATATTCCATGCTCCCTATGTATTCCAGTAAAGACAGAGCAAAGCAATTTTAGGGAAAGACACACAAGAAAAAAACAAAGCAAACACATTTATACAGACTGACAAACAGATACACACACATACACACACTCACACATCGACATAAGACAGACAGTTACATACTCACAAGACAGCAGTCATACGGACATAGATTCTGATTCATACAATAGACATAGAAGGTAATACATAGAAAGTGTGAAGAAGAGAATACAACTCTGGACTCACTCTGGGTTAAGTCACTTCAAGGGGAATTTTTTTTTCCTTTAAGTGACACAAATACATTATTGGTGACTGGAAATTTATCATCAATGCCATTTGTTCATGCATTTGATTTAAGGTATCAGGTTGTTTGCTTAGAATGCATTTTTTTCCTAAACATTTGGTTTCATTTCTTCCCCTTGCTTGTTCTTAACAGGCATTTGGATTTTGTTCACTTTTGAAGCTCTGAAGACATGCTGTCTGTCATAAGTTTAGTGTTTGAAATGTTTTGATTATATTATCATTTGTACTCTGCCTCCTTAAATGTGGAATTCTGCAAATTTTTTTCTGTTATTTCTCTTGTGACCTTGGCAAGCCTTTAATTTAATAATTATATTTGGCCCTGATAATGAAAAAAAAAACATAAGATGAGAGGCACTTCTTCCTTCCCAAATAAAAGAGTAGAGGTGACAGGTGAACAACACAGGATGTTAAGAGGCCTCATGGTGAAACACAATAAACATACTGTGTTCCTAGGTCAGAAGGAACTCTTTGATTCCCCACCCAGGTTTGCTTTAACTAAAAGCTCACACCTCAAGAAGAAATTTTTCCATGGGTACCATAGCAGGACACGAAATAGCCCCTCCTAGAAGGATCTCAAAAAGGCAAGAGCAAAGAAATAGAGCCTAAACTATTTTGCCTAAACCTTACCCATGACCTCTATCTGAGTACTGAGAAAACAATGCCAACAGGAGGGAGCCATGTCCCAAGTCACATAACAATGCAGCAGCTAAGTAGACCTCAAAATCCCTCTCAGTAGCTACTCTGTCGGAGAACCACAAATTTTAAAGCTTCTTCAGAGGTCCCCCCATGGGCCTGAACGTCCCAGGGACAAGGATAAAGTTGAAGGAATACACTTCCACATGCTTCAGATGCACAAACTGCCATTGTATGGAAGGGCCCTCCTAGGAGCCACCAAACCTAGACACTCCATCTAAGAATCTCAGTAGGCAATAGCAAGGAAAGAATCCCAGAGCCACCAATATTCTAGCAAAACTTTGACAATTACCGCTAGCAGAGACATGAAAGAACAAGGCCATCACCATCGGGAGGGAGTCAGGCAACTGCTGGAGGAGGGCAGGAGCAAAGGAGTGGTTGGCAAGCCCGTATTCTACACCCAGAGGACCATTCTGGGAAAGGTAGGTGGCAATGGGTCCTGGATGGAAAAAGGGAGGACCTTGATGACCTAAGCCTGCTACAGGCGGGTGCAGACAGGTGTGGAGGCATGAATGGGTACACCTCACAGAACCACCAAGACCAGATAATTGTAAGCTCGTGCTGGAAATTCATGTCATGCATACCTTGGTCCGATGACCTTCTGCTGCAAATCAACAACAGCAGTGGAAAACAGTACGAGCTGCATAGTCGACTGTATCATCCGTAGGCATGGCCTGGGGTGTTGGGCCATTCTCTCTGCCCTGTGGCCGTGCGTGCCACAGATGCAACACTGTGAAGACATAAAAGCACAGGCCCTCGTTACAGTGGGAGCCATGAAACTGGCTCTGGGAGGGCTTGAGCTGGTGGGTCTCAGTGGGATGATCGGGCAAAAAGTGTTCTGCCAGCTCCCCTGCTCTGTCCAAACCCTCAAGCATGGTTTGCCAGATGGCTGACAGCAAACTATTCAAGTCTCAGGGCTTGGCCTGAGCCTGGCACCCTCCGTGGCCTTGAAGGTGATATTTGGCCCTCTCTGCAGCCATTCAACTAATATCTTTAAGCCCAACATATCCAGCTACTGCAACACCAGCAAGCACTCTCTTACTCAAAATAAATGAATGAATGGATAGATACATAAATAAATGAATAAATAAATAAATACCATCGGAGGCGGCTCTGAATAAAGTCAGCACGGAAACCAGCTCACTGGATTGATGAACAAAGACACGCCCACCTGGCAGTCTCAAGATCAAGGCTCAGGACTCAGCTCTCTTTGGACATGTTCCCTGAGCAAACCATGCCTCCTATTCCCTGAGCAGGTCTGACAAACTGACAGCCAGGGCTACTGGCACCTGCAAACCTCTCTCTTGCTAATGCAAATGTCAAAGTGCACTAAGCCTTCCCCACAGGACTTCACTCTAAGAGATGCTATGCCACTGCTGGAGGTGGGCAGGAGCAGGGGAGTGGTTGGCATTCCCGTATCCTATTCCCAGAGGACCTGGGTGACCCAAGGTGCAGGACCTCAGTCTCGATGAGAGCGGTGGTACTGAGTTTTCACTCATTTTGTTCAGCTTTTCCAAGGAATGATTGACTGGGAATCATCATCGATCCAAGCACGCTGGAGTGGCCTGGCCCAGAGACTTTCAGAGGTAGGTCTCCTCTCAAGCCAGGGTGGGTGTTGGGGAGTGCGAGAACTGCCCAGACGTGCCCCATCTGGGAAAGGGAGGTTGCAATGGGTCCATGCATGGAGGGCGGGAGCACCTTGAGGACCTAAGTCTGCTACAGGCAGGTGCAGACTGGTCTGGAGGCACGAATGGGCACACCTCGCAGCACCACCAAGACCCGACAATCGTCAGCTCGTGCTTCCAATTCATGTGATGCTTACCTTGGTCCTCGGGCCTTCTGCTGCAAGAAAGTCACCAACATCAGTGGGCAACAGTGCGATAGGCTCAGGCTGCTGCCATCAACCGTAGGCATGGCCTGGGGTGTTGGGCCATTCTCTCTGCCCTGTGGCCGTGCGTGCCACAGATGCAACACTGTGAAGACATAAAAGCACAGGCCCTCGTTACAGTGGGAGGCATGAAACTGGCTCTGGGTGGGCTTGAGCTGGTGGGTCTCAGTGGGATGATCGGGCAAAAAGTGTTCTGCCAGCTCCCCTGCTCTGTCCAAACCCTCAAGCATGGTTTGCCAGATGGCTGACATCAAACTATTCAAGTCTCAGGGCTTGGCCTGAGCCTGGCACCCTCCGTGGCCTTGAAGGTGATATTTGGCCCTCTCTGCAGCCATTCAACTAATATCTGTAAGCCCAACACATCCAGCTACTGCAACACCAGCAAGCACTCTCTTACTCAAAATAAATGAATGAATGGATAGATACATAAATAAATGAATAAATAAATAAATACCATCGGAGGCTGCTCTGAATAAAGTCAGCAAGGAAACCAGCTCACTGGATTGATGAACAAAGACACGCCCACCTGGCAGTCTCAAGATCAAGGCTCAGGACTCAGCTCTCTTTGGACATGTTCCCTGAGCAAACCATGCCTCCTATTCCCTGAGCAGGTCTGACAAACTGACAGCCAGGGCTACTGGCACCTGCAAACCTCTCTCTTGCTAATGCAAATGTCAAAGTGCACTAAGCCTTCCCCACAGGACTTCACTCTAAGAGATGCTATGCCACTGCTGGAGGTGGGCAGGAGCAGGGGAGTGGTTGGCATTCCCGTATCCTACTCCCAGAGGACCTGGGTGACCCAAGGTGCAGGACCTCAGTCTCGATGAGAGCGGTGGTACTGAGTTTTCACTCATTTTGTTCAGCTTTTCCAAGGAATGATTGACTGGGAATCATCATCGATCCAAGCACGCTGGAGTGGCCTGGCCCAGAGACTTTCAGAGGTAGGTCTCCTCTCAAGCCAGGGTGGGTGTTGGGGAGTGCGAGAACTGCCCAGACGTGCCCCATCTGGGAAAGGGAGGTTGCAATGGGTCCATGCATGGAAGGCGGGAGCACCTTGAGGACCTAAGTCTGCTACAGGCAGGTGCAGACTGGTCTGGAGGCACGAATGGGCACACCTCGCAGCACCACCAAGACCCGACAATCGTCAGCTCGTGCTTCCAATTCATGTGATGCTTACCTTGGTCCTCGGGCCTTCTGCTGCAAGAAAGTCACCAACATCAGTGGGCAACAGTGCGATAGGCTCAGGCTGCTGCCATCAACCGTAGGCATGGCCTGGGGTGTTGGGCCATTCTCTCTGCCCTGTGGCCGTGCGTGCCACAGATGCAACACTGTGAAGACATAAAAGCACAGGCCCTCGTTACAGTGGGAGGCATGAAACTGGCTCTGGGTGGGCTTGAGCTGGTGGGTCTCAGTGGGATGATCGGGCAACAAGTGTTCTGCCAGCTCCCCTGCTCTGTCCAAACCCTCAAGCATGGTTTGCCAGATGGCTGACAGCAAACTATTCAAGTCTCAGGGCTTGGCCTGAGCCTGGCACCCTCCGTGGCCTTGAAGGTGATATTTGGCCCTCTCTGCAGCCATTCAACTAATATCTGTAAGCCCAACACATCCAGCTACTGCAACACCAGCAAGCACTCTCTTACTCAAAATAAATGAATGAATGGATAGATACATAAATAAATGAATAAATAAATAAATACCATCGGAGGCTGCTCTGAATAAAGTCAGCACGGAAACCAGCTCACTGGATTGATGAACAAAGACACGCCCACCTGGCAGTCTCAAGATCAAGGCTCAGGACTCAGCTCTCTTTGGACATGTTCCCTGAGCAAACCATGCCTCCTATTCCCTGAGCAGGTCTGACAAACTGACAGCCAGGGCTACTGGCACCTGCAAACCTCTCTCTTGCTAATGCAAATGTCAAAGTGCACTAAGCCTTCCCCACAGGACTTCACTCTAAGAGATGCTATGCCACTGCTGGAGGTGGGCAGGAGCAGGGGAGTGGTTGGCATTCCCGTATCCTACTCCCAGAGGACCTGGGTGACCCAAGGTGCAGGACCTCAGTCTCGATGAGAGCGGTGGTACTGAGTTTTCACTCATTTTGTTCAGCTTTTCCAAGGAATGATTGACTGGGAATCATCATCGATCCAAGCACGCTGGAGTGGCCTGGCCCAGAGACTTTCAGAGGTAGGTCTCCTCTCAAGCCAGGGTGGGTGTTGGGGAGTGCGAGAACTGCCCAGACGTGCCCCATCTGGGAAAGGGAGGTTGCAATGGGTCCATGCATGGAAGGCGGGAGCACCTTGAGGACCTAAGTCTGCTACAGGCAGGTGCAGACTGGTCTGGAGGCACGAATGGGCACACCTCGCAGCACCACCAAGACCCGACAATCGTCAGCTCGTGCTTCCAATTCATGTGATGCTTACCTTGGTCCTCGGGCCTTCTGCTGCAAGCAAGTCACCAACATCAGTGGGCAACAGTGCGATATGCTCAGGCTGCTGCCATCAGCCGTAGGCATGGCCTGGGGTGTTGGGCCATTCTGTCTGCCCTGTGGCCATTGGTGCCACAGATGCAACACTGTGAAGACATAAAAGTACAGGCCCTCGTTACAGTGGGAGCCATGAAACTGGCTCTGGGAGGGCTTGAGCTGGTGGGTCTCAGTGGGATGATTGGGCAACAAGTGTTCTGCCAGCTCCCCTGATCTGTCCAAACCCTCAAGCATGGTTTGCCAGATGGCTGACAGCAAACTATTCAAGTCTCAGGGCTTGGCCTGAGCCTGGCACCCTCCGTGGCCTTGAAGGTGATATTTGGCCCTCTCTGCAGCCATTCAACTGCTATCTGTAAGCCCAACACATCCAGCTACTGCAACACCAGCAAGCATTCTCTTACTCAAAATAAATGAATGAATGGATAGATACATGAATAAATGAATAAATAAATAAATATCATCGGAGGCTGCTCTGAATAAAGTCAGCAAGGAAACCAGCTCACTGGATTGATGAACAAAGACACGCCCACCTGGCAGTCTCAAGATCAAGGCTCAGGACTCAGCTCTCTTTGGACATGTTCCCTGAGCAAACCATTGCTCCTATTCCCTGAGCAGGTCTGACAAACTGACAGCTAGGACGACTGGCACCTACAAACCTCTCACTTGCTAAAGCAAATGTCAAAGTGCACTAAGCCTTCCCCACAGGACTTCACTCTAAGAGATGCTATGCCACTGCTGGAGGTGGGCAGGAGCAGGGGAGTGGTTGGCATTCCCGTATCCAACTACCAGAGGACCTGGGTGACCCAAGGTTCAGGACCTCAGTCTCGATGAGAGCGGTGGTACTGAGTTTTCACTCATTTTGTTCAGCTTTTCCAAGGAATGATTGACTGGGAATCATCATCGATCCAAGCACGCTGGAGTGGCCTGGCCCAGAGACTTTCAGAGGTAGGTCTCCTCTTAAGCCAGGGTGGGTGTTGGGGAGTGCGAGAACTGCCCAGACGTGCCCCATCTGGGAAAGGGAGGTTGCAATGGATACATGATGGAAAGCAGGAGCACCTTGAGGACCTAAGTCTGCTACAGGCAGGTGCAGACTGGTCTGGAGGCATGAATGGGCAAACCTCGCAGCACCACCAAGACCCGACAATCGTCAGCTCATGCTTCCAATTCATGTCATGCTTACCTTGGTCCTCAGGCCTTCTGCTGCAAGCAAGTCACCAACATCAGTGGGCAACACTGCGATACGCTCAGGCTGCTGCCATCAGCCGTAGGCATGGCCTGAGTGTTGGGCCATTCTGTCTGCCCTGTGGCCATTGGTGCCACAGATGCAACACTGTGAAGACATAAAAGTACAGGCCCTCATTACAGTGGGAGCCATGAAACTGGCTATGGGAGGGCTTGAGCAGGTGGATCTCAGTGGGATGATTGGGCAACAAGTGTTCTGCCAGCTCCCCTGCTCTGTCCAAACCCTCAAGCATGGTTTGCCAGATGGCTGACAGCAAACTATTCAAGTCTCAGGTCTTGGCCTGAGCCTGGCACCCTCCGTGGCCTTGAAGGTGATATTTGGCCCTCTCTGCAGCCATTCAACTGCTATCTGTAAGCCCAACACATCCAGCTACTGCAACACCAGCAAGCACTCTCTTATTCAAAATAAATGAATGAATGGATAGATACATGAATAAATGAATAAATAAATAAATATCATCGGAGGCTGCTCTGAATAAAGTCAGCACGGAAACCAGCTCACTGGATTGATGAACAAAGACACGACCACCTGGCAGTCTCAAGATCAAGGCTCAGGACTCAGCTCTCTTTGGACATGTTCACTGAGCAAACCATGCCTCCTATTCCGTGAGCATGTCTGACAAACTGACAGCCAGGACTACTGGCACCTGCAAACCGCTCTCTTGCTAATGCAAATGTCAAAGTGCACTGAGCCTACCCCACAGGACTTCACTCTAAGAGATGCTATGCCACTGCTGGAGGTGGGCAGGAGCAGGGGAGTGGTTGGCATTCCCATATCCAACTACCAGAGGACCTGGGTGACCCAAGGTGCAGGACCTCAGTCTCGATGACAGCGGTGGTACTGAGTTTTCACTCATTTTGTTCAGCTTTTCCAAGGAATGATTGACTGGGAATCATCATCGATCCAAGCACACTGGAGTGGCCTGGCCCAGAGACTTTCAGAGGTAGGTCTCCTCTCAAGCCAGGGTGGGTGTTGGGGCGTGCAATAACTGCCCAGACATGCCCCATCTGGGAACGGGAGGTTGCAATGGGTCCATGCATGGAAAGCACGAGCACCTTGAGGACCTAAGTCTGCTACAGGCAGGTGCAGACTGGTCTGGAGGCACGAATGGGCACAAGTCGAAGCACCACCAAGACCCGACAATATTCAGCTCGTGCTTCCAATTCATGTCATGCTTACCTTGGTCCTCGGGCCTTCTGCTGCAAGCAAGTCACCAACACCAGTGGACAACAGTGCGATAGGCTCAGGCTGCTGTCATCAGCCGTAGGCATGGCCTGGGGTGTTGGGCCATTCTCTCTGCCCTGTGGCCGTGCGTGCCACAGATGCAACACTGTGAAGACATAAAAGCACAGGCTCTCGTTACAGTGGGAGCCATGAAACTGGCTCTGGGAGGGCTTGTGCTGGTGGGTCTCAGTGGGATGATCGGGCAACAAGTGTTCTGCCAGCTCCCCTGCTCTGTCCAAACCCTCAAGCATGGTTTGCCAGATGGCTGACAGCAAACTATTCAAGTCTCAGGGCTTGGCCTGAGCCTGGCACCCTCCGTGGCCTTGAAGGTGATATTTGGCCCTCTCTGAGCCATTCAACTAATATCTGTAAGCCCAACACATCCAGCTACTGCAACACCAGCAAGCACTCTCTTACTCAAAATAAATGAATAAATGAATAGATACATAAATAAATGAATAAATAATTAAATATCATCGGAGGCTGCTCTGAATAAAGTCAGCAAGGAAACCAGCTCACTGGATTGATGAACAAAGACAAGCCCACCTGGCAATCTCAAGATCAAGGCTCAGGACTCAGCTCTCTTTGGACATGTTCCCTGAGCAAACCATTGCTCCTATTCCCTGAGCAGGTCTGACAAACTGACAGCCAGGGCTACTGGCACCTGCAAACCTCTCTCTTGCTAATGCAAATGTCAAAGTGCAATAAGCCTTCCCCACAGGACTTCACTCTAAGAGATGCTATGCCACTGCTGGAGGTGGGCAGGAGCAGGGGAGTGGTTGGCATACCCGAATCCAACTACCAGAAGACCTGGGTGACCCAAGGTGCAGGACCTCAGTCTCGATGAGAGCGGTGGTACTGAGTTTTCACTCCTTTTTTTAAGCTTTTCCAAGGAATGATTGACTGGGAATCATCATCGATCCAAGCACGCTGGAGTGGCCTGGCCCAGAGACTTTCAGAGGTAGGTCTCCTCTCAAGCCAGGGTGGGTGTTGGGGAGTGCGAGAACTGCCCAGACGTGCCCCATCTGGGAAAGGGATGTTGCAATGGGTCCATGCATGGAAGGCAGGAGCACCTTGAGGACCTAAGTCTGCTACAGGCAGGTGCAGACTGGTCTGGAGGCACGAATGGGCACACCTCGCAGCACCACCAAGACCCGACAATCGTCAGCTCGTGCTTCCAATTCATGTCATGCTTACCTTGGTCCTCGGGCCTTCTGCTGCACGTCAGCAACACCAGTGGGGAACAGTGCGATAGACCCAGGCTGCTGCCATCAGCCGTAGGCATGGCCTGGGGTGTTGGGCCATTCTCTCTGCCCTGTGGCCATTGGTGCCACAGATGCAACACTGTGAATACATAAAAGCAAAGGCCATCGTTACAGTGGGAGGCATGAAACTGGCTCTGGGAGGGCTTGCGCTGGTTGGTCTCAGTGGGATGGTCGGGCAACAAGTGTTCTGCCAGCTCCCCTGATCTGTCCAAACCCTCAAGCATGGTTTGCCAGATGGCTAACAGCAAACTATTCAAGTCTCAGGGCTTGGCCTGAGCCTGGCACCCTCTGTGGCCATGAAGGTGATATTTGGCCCTCTCTGCAGCCACAACTGCTATCTGTAAGCCCAAAACATCCAGCTACTGCAACACCAGCAAGCACTCTCTTACTCAATATAAATGAATGAATGGATAGATACATAAATAAATGAATAAATAAATAAATATCATCGGAGGCTGCTCTGAATAAAGTCAGCCCGGAAACCAGCTCACTGGATTGATGAACAAGGACACGCCCACCTGGCAGTCTCAAGATCAAGGCTCAGGACTCAGCTCTCTTTTGACATGTTCCCTGAGCAAACCATGCCTCCTATTCCCTGTGCAGGTCTGACAAACTGAAAGCCAGAGCTGCTGGCACCTGCAAACCTCTCTCTTGCTAATGCAAATGTCAAAGTGCACTAAGCCTTCTCCACAGGACTTCACTCTAAGAGATGCTATGCCACGGCTGGAGGTGGGCAGGAGCAGGGGAGTGGTTGGCATTCACGTATCCAACTACCAGAGGACCTGAGTGACCCAAGGTGCAGGAACTCAGTCTCGATGAGAGCGGTGGTACTGAGTTTTCACTCATTTTGTTCACCTTTTCCAAGGAATGATTGATTGGGAATCATCATCGATCCAAGCACCCTGGAGTGGCCTGGCCCAGAGACTTTCAGAGGTAGGTCTCCTCTCAAGCCAGGGTGGGTGTTGGGGTGTGTGAGAACTGCCCAGACGTGCCCCATCTGGGAAAGGGAGGTTGCAATGGGTCCATGCATGGAAGGCAGGAGCACCTTGAGGACTTAAGTCTGCTATAGGCAGGTGCAGACTGTTCTGGAGGCACGAATGGGCACAAGTCACAGAACCACCAAGACCCGACAATCGTCAGCTCGTGCTTCCAATTCATGTCATGCTTACCTTGGTCCTCGGGCCTTCTGCTGCAAGCACGTCACCAACACCAGTGGACAACAGTGCGATAGGCTCAGGCTGCTGCCATCAGCCGTAGGCATGGCCTGGGGTGTTGGGCCATTCTCTCTGCCCTGTGGCCGTGCGTGCCACAGATGCAACACTGTGAAGACATAAAAGCACAGGCCCTCGTTAGAGTGGGAGCCATGAAACTGGCTCTGGGAGGGTTTGAGCTGGTGGGTCTCAGTGGGATGATCGGGCAACAAGTGTTCTGCCAGCTCCCCTGCTCTGTCCAAACCCTCAAGCATGGTTTGCCAGATGGCTGACAGCAAACTATTCAAGTCTCAGGGCTTGGCCTGAGCCTGGCACCCTCCGTGGCCTTGAAGGTGATATTTGGCCCTCTCTGCAGCCATTCAACTAAATCTGTAATCCCAACACATCCAGCTACTGCAACACCAGCAAGCACTCTCTTACTCAAAATAAATGAATGAATGAATAGATACATAAATAAATGAATAAATAAATAAATATCATCGGAGGCTGCTCTGAATAAAGTCAGCACGGAAACCAGCTCACTGGATTGATGAACAAAGACAAGCCCACCTGGCAGTCTCAAGATCAAGGCTCAGGACTCAGCTCTCTTTGGACATGTTCCCTGTCAAACCATGCCTCCTATTCCCTGAGCAAGTCTGACAAACTGACAGCCAGGGCTAATGGCACCTGCAAACCTCTCTCTTGCTAATGCAAATGTCAAAGTGCAGTAAGCCTTCAACACAGGACTTCACTCTAAGAGATACTATGCCACTGCTGGAGGTGGGCAGGAGCAGGGGAGTGGTTGGCATTCCCGTATCCAACTACAAGAGGACCTGTGCGACCCAAGGTGCAGGACCTCAGTCTCGATGAGAGTGGTGGTACTGAGTTTTCACTCATTTTGTTCAGCTTTTCCAAGGAATGATTGACTGGGAATCATCATCGATCCAAGCACGCTGGAGTGGCCTCGCACAGAGACTTTCAGAGGTAGGTCTCCTCTCAAGCCAGGGTGGGTGTTGGGGAGTGCGAGAACTGCCCAGACGTGCCCCATCTGGGAAAGGGAGGTTGCAATGGGTCCATGCATGGAAGGCGGGAGCACCTTGAGGACCAAAGTCTGCTACATGCAGATGCAGACTGGTCTGGAGACACGAATGGGCACACCTCGCAGCACCACCAAGACCCGACAATCGTCAGCTCGTGCTTCCAATTCAAGTCTTGCTTACCAGGGTCCTCGGGCCTTCTGCTGCAAACAAGTCACCAACACCAGTGAGCAACAGTGCAATAGGCTCAGGCTGCTGCCATCAGCCCTAGGCATCGCCTGGGGTGTTGGGCCATTCTGTCTGCCCTGTGGCCATGTGTGCCACAGATGCAACACTGTGAAGACATAAAAGTACAGGCCCTCGTTACAGTGGGAGCCATGAAACTGGCTCTGGGAGGGCTTGAGCTGGTGGGTCTCAGTGGGATGATCGGGCAACAAGTGTTCTGCCAGCTCCCCTGCTCTGTCCAAACCCTCAAGCATGGTTTGCCAGATGGCTGACAGCAAACTATTCAAGTCTCAGGGCTTGGCCTGAGCCTGGCACCCTCCGTGGCCTTGATGGTGATATTTGGCCCTCTCTGCAGCCATTCCACTAATATCTATAAGCCCAACACATCCAGCTACTGCAACACCAGCAAGCACTCTCTTACTCATAATAAATGAATGAATGAATAGATACATAAATAAATGAATAAATAAATAAATATCATCGGAGTCTGCTCTGAATAAAGTCAGCAAGGAAACCAGCTCACTGGATTGATGAACAAAGACAAGCCCACCTGGCAGTCTCAAGATCAAGGCTCAGGACTCAGCTCTCTTTGGACATGTTCCCTGAGCAAACCATTGCTCCTATTCCCTGAGCAGGTCTGACATACTGACAGCCAGGGCTACTGGCACCTGCAAACCTCTTCCTTGCTAATGCAAATGTCAAAGTGAACTAAGCCTTCCCCACAGGACTTCACTCTAAGAGATGCTATGCCACTGCTGGAGGTGGGCAGGAGCAGGGGAGTGGTTGGCATTCCCGTATCCAACTACCAGAGGACCTGAGTGACCCAAGGTGCAGGAACTCAGTCTCGATGAGAGCGGTGGTACTGAGTTTTCACTCATTTTGTTCACCTTTTCCAAGGAATGATTGATTGGGAATCATCATCGATCCAAGCACCCTGGAGTGGCCTGGACCAGAGACTTTCAGAGGTAGGTCTCCTCTCAAGCCAGGGTGGGTGTTGGGGTGTGAGAGAACTGCCCAGACGTGCCCCATCTGGGAAAGTTAGGTTGCAATGGGTCCATGCATTGAAGGCAGGAGCACCTTGAGGACCTAAGTCTGCTACAGGAAGGTGCAGACTGTTCTGGAGGCACGAATGGGCACAAGTCACAGAACCACCAAGACCCGACAATCGTCAGCTCGTGCTTCCAATTCATGTCATGCTTACCTTGGTCCTCGGGCCTTCTGCTGCAAGCACGTCACCAACACCAGTGGACAACAGTGCGATAGGCTCAGGCTGCTGCCATCAGCCGTAGGCATGGCCTGGGGTGTTGGGCCATTCTCTCTGCCCTGTGGCCGTGCGTGCCACAGATGCAACACTGTGAAGACATAAAAGCACAGGCCCTCGTTACAGTGGGAGCCATGAAACTGGCTCTGGGAGGGTTTGAGCTGGTGGGTCTCAGTGAGATGATGGGGCAAAAAGTGTTCTGCCAGCTCCCCTGCTCTGTCCAAACCCTCAAGCATGGTTTGCCAGATGGCTGACAGCAAACTATTCAAGTCTCAGGGCTTGGCCTGAGCCTGGCACCCTCCGTGGCCTTGAAGGTGATATTTGGCCCTCTCTGCAGCCATTCAACTAATATCTGTAAGCCCAACACATCCAGCTACTGCAACACCAGCAAGCACTCTCTTACTCAAAATAAATGAATGAATGGATAGATACATAAATAAATGAATAAATAAATAAATATCATCGGAGGCTGCTCTGAATAACGTCAGCCCGGAAACCAGCTCACTGGATTGATGAACACGGACACGCCCAACTGGCAGTCTCAAGATCAAGGCTCAGCACTCAGCTCTCTTTGGACATGTTCCCTGAGCAAACCATGCCTCCTATTCCCTGAGCAGGTCTGACAAACTGACAGCCAGGGCTACTGGCACCTGCAAACCTCTCTCTTGCTAATGCAAATGTCAAAGTGCACTAAGCCTTCCCTACAGGACTTCACTCTAAGAGATGCTATGCCACTGCTGGAGTTGGGCAGGAGTGGTTGGCATACCCGTATCCAACTACCAGAAGACCTGGGTGACCCAAGGTGCAGGACCTCAGTCTCGATGAGAGCGGTGGTACTGAGTTTTCACTCATTTTGTTCAACTTTTCCAAGGAATGATTGACTGGGAATCATCATCGATCCAAGCACGCTGGAGTGGCCTGGCCCAGAGACTTTCAGAGGTAGGTCTCCTCTCAAGCCAGGGTGGGTGTTGGGGAGTGCGAGAACTGCCCAGACGTGCCCCATCTGGGAAAGGGAGGTTGCAATTGGTCCATGCATGGAAGGCAGGAGCACCTTGAGGACCTAAGTCTGCTACAAGCAGGTGCAGACTGGTCTGGAGGCACGAATGGGCACACCTCGCAGCACCACCAAGACCCGACAATGGTCAGCTCGTGCTTCCAATTCATGTCATGCTTACCTTGGTCCTCGGGCCTTCTGCTGCAAGAAAGTCACCAACACCAGTGGACAACAGTGCAATAGGCTCAGGCTGCTGCCATCAGTCGTAGGCATGGCCTGGGCTGTTGGGCCATTCTGTCTGCGCTGTGGCCATTGGTGCCACAGATGCAACACTGTGAATACATAAAAGCACAGGCCCTCGATACAGTGAAAGGCATGAAACTGGCTCTGGGATGGCTTGAGCTGGTGGGTCTCAGTGGGATGATCGGGCAACAAGTGTTCTGCCAGCTCCCCTGCTCTGTCCAAACCCTCAAGCATGGTTTGCCAGATGGCTGACAGCAAACTATTCAAGTCTCAGGGCTTGGCCTGAGCCTGGCACCCTCCGTGGCCTTGAAGGTGATATTTGGCCCTCTCTGCAGCCATTCAACTAATATCTGTAAGCCCAACACATCCAGCTACTGAAACACCAGCAAGCACTCTCTTACTCAAAATAAATGAATGAATGGATAGATACATAAGTAAATGAATAAATAAAAAAATATCATCGGAGGCTGCTCTGAATAAAGTCAGCCCGGAAACCAGCTCACTGGATTGATGAACAAGGACACGCCCAACTGGCAGTCTCAAGATCAAGGCTCAGGACTCAGCTCTCTTTGGACATGTTCCCTGAGCAAACCATGCCTCCTATTCCCTGAGCAGGTCTGACAAACTGACAGCCAGGGCTACTGGCACCTGCAAACCTCTCTCTTGCTAATGCAAATGTCAAAGTGCACTAAGCCTTCCCCACAGGACTTCACTCTAAGAGATGCTATGCCACAGCTGGAGGTGGGCAGGAGAAGGGGAGTGGTTGGCATTCCCGTATCCAACTACAAGAGGACCTGGGTGACCCAAGGTGCAGGACCTCAGTCTCGATGAGAGCGGTGGTACTGAGTTTTCACTCATTTTGTTCAGCTTTTCCAAGGAATGATTGACTGGGAATCATCATCGATCCAAGCACGCTGGAGTGGCCTGGCCCAGAGACTTTCAGAGGTAGGTCTCCTCTCAAGCCAGGGTGGGTGTTGGGGAGTGCGAGAACTGCCCAGACGTGCCCCATCAGGGAAAGGGAGGTTGCAATGGGTCCATGCATGGAAGGCAGGAGCACCTTGAGGACCAAAGTCTGCTACAGGCAGGTGCAGACTGGTCTGGAGGCACGAATGGGCACACCTCGCAGCACCACCAAGACCCGACAATCGTCAGCTCGTGCTTCCAATTCATGTCATGCTTACCTGGGTCCTCGGGCCTTCTGCTGCAAAAAAGTCACCAACACCAGTGGGCAACAGTGCAATAGGCTCAGGCTGCTGCCATCAGCCCTAGGCATGGCCTGGGGTGTTGGGCCATTCTGTTTCCCCTGTGGCCATGTGTGCCACAGATGCAACACTGTGAAGACATAAAAGTACAGGCCATCGTTACAGTGGGAACCATGAAACTGGCTCTGTTAGGGCTTGAGCTGGTGGGTCTCAGTGGGATGATCGGGCAACAAGTGTTCTGCCAGCTCCCCTGCTCTGTCCAAACCCTCAAGCATGGTTTGCCAGATGGCTGACAGCAAACTATTCAAGTCTCAGGGCTTGGCCTGAGCCTGGCACCCTCCGTGGCCTTGAAGGTGATATTTGGCCCTCTCTCCAGCCATTCAACTAATATCTGTAAGCCCAACACATCCAGCTACTGCAACACCAGCAAGCACTCTCTTACTCAAAATAAATGAATGAATGAATAGATACATAAATAAATGAATAAATAAATAAATATCATCAGAGGCTGCTCTGAATAAAGTCAGCAAGGAAACCAGCTCACTGGATTGATGAACAAAGACAAGCCCACCTGGCAGTCTCAAGATCAAGGCTCAGGACTCAGCTCTCTTTGGACATGTTCCCTGAGCAAACCATTGCTCCTATTCCCTGAGCAGGTCTGACAAACTGACAGCCAGGGCTACTGGCACCTGCAAACCTCTCTCTTGCTAATGCAAATGTCAAAGTGCACTAAGCCTTCCCCACAGGACTTCACTCTAAGAGATGCTATGCCACTGCTGGAGGTGGGCAGGAGCAGGGGAGTGGTTGGCATACCCGTATCCAACTACCAGAAGACCTGGGTGACCCAAGGTGCAGGACCTCAGTCTCGATGAGAGCGGTGGTACTGAGTTTTCACTCATTTTGTTCAGCTTTTCCAAGGAATGATTGACTGGGAATCATCATCGATCCAAGCACGCTGGAGTGGCCTGGCCCAGAGACTTTCAGAGGTAGGTCTCCTCTCAAGCCAGGGTGGGTGTTGGGGAGTGCGAGAACTGCCCAGACGTGCCCCATCTGGGAAAGGGAGGTTGCAATTGGTCCATGCATGGAAGGCAGGAGCACCTTGAGGACCTAAGTCTGCTACAGGCAGGTGCAGACTGGTCTGGAGTCACGAATGGGCACACCTCGCAGCACCACCAAGACCCGACAATCGTCAGCTCGTGCTTCCAATTCATGTCATGCTTACCTTGGTCCTCGGGCCTTCTGCTGCAAGTCACCAACACCAGTGGGCAAGAGTGCGATAGGCTCAGGCTGCTGCCATCAGCCGTAGGCATGGCCTCCGTTGTTGGGCCATTCTGTCTGCCCTGTGGCCATTGGTGCCACAGATGCAACACTGTGAATACATAAAAGCAGAGGCCCTCGTTACAGACGGAGGCATGAAACTGGCTCTGGGAGGGCTTGCGCTGGTGGGTCTCAGTGGGATGATCGGGCAACAAGTGTTCTGCCAGCTCCCCTGCTCTGTCCAAACCCTCAAGCATGGTTTGCCAGATGGCTGACAGCAAACTATTCAAGTCTCAGGGCTTGGCCTGAGCCTGGAACCCTCTGTGGCCATGAAGGTGATATGTGGCCCTCTCTGCAGCCACAACTGCTATCTGTAAGCCCACAACATCCAGCTACTGCAACACCAGCAAGCACTCTCTTACTCAAAATAAATGAATGAATGGATAGATACATAAATAAATGAATAAATAAATAAATATCATCGGAGGCTGCTCTGAATAAAGTCAGCCCGGAAACCAGCTCACTGGATTGATGAACAAGGACACGCCCAACTGGCAGTCTCAAGATCAAGGCTCAGGACTCAGCTCTCTTTTGACATGTTCCCTGAGCAAACCATGCCTCCTATTCCCTGAGCAGGTCTGACAAACTGACAGCCAGGGATAATGGCACCTGCAAACCACTCTCTTGCTAATGTAAATGTCAAAGTGCATTAAGCCTTCCCCACAGGACTTCACTCTAAGAGATGCTATGCCACTGCTGGAGGTGGGCAGGAGCAGGGGAGTGGTTAGCATTCCCGTATCCAACTACCAGAGGACCTGGGTGACCCAAGGTGCAGGACCTCAGTCTCGATGAGAGCGGTGGTACTGAGTTTTCACTCATTTTGTTCAGCTTTTCCAAGGAATGATTGACTGGGAATCATCAACGATCCAAGCACCCTGGAGTGGCCTGGCCCAGAGACTTTCAGAGGTAGGTCTCCTCTCAAGCCAGGGTGGGTGTTGGGGAGTGCGAGAACTGCCCAGACGTGCCCCATCTGGGAAAGGGAGGTTGCAATGGGTCCATGCATGGAAGGCAGGAGCACGTTGAGGACCTAAGTCTGCTACAGGCAGGTGCAGACTGGTCTGGAGGCACGAATAGGCACACCTCGCAGCACCACCAAGACCCGACAATCGTCAGCTCGTGCTTCCAATTCATGTCATGCTTACCTTGGTCCTCGGGCCTTCTGCTGCAAGAAAGTCACCAACACCAGTGGACAACAGTGCAATGGGCTCAGGCTGCTGCCATCAGCCGTAGGCATGGCCTGGGGTGTTGGGCCATTCTCTCTGCCCTGTGGCCGTGCATGCCACAGATGCAACACTGTGAAGACATAAAAGCACAGGCCCTCGTTACAGTGGGAGCCATGAAACTGGCTCTGGGAGGGCTTGAGCTGGTGGGTCTCAGTGGGATGATCGGGCAAAAAGTGTTCTGCCAGCTCCCCTGCTCTGTCCAAACCCTCAAGCATGGTTTGCCAGATGGCTGACAGCAAACTATTCAAGTCTCAGGGCTTGGCCTGAGCCTGGCACCCTCCGTGGCCTTGAAGGTGATATTTGGCCCTCTATGCAGCCATTCAACTAATATCTGTAAGACCAACACATCCAGCTCCTGCAACACCAGCAAGCACTCTCTTACTCAAAATAAATGAATGAATGAATAGATACATAAATAAATGAATAAATAAATAAATATCATCGTGGGCTGCTCTGAATAAAGTCAGCAAGGAAACCAGCTCACTGGATTGATGAACAAAGACAAGCCCCCTGGCAGTCTCAAGATCAAGGCTCAGGACTCAGCTCTCTTTGGACATGTTCCCTGAACAAACCATTGCTCCTATTCCCTGAGCAGGTCTGACAAACTGACAGCCAGGGCTACTGGCACCTGCAAACCTCTCTCTTGCTAATGCAAATGTCAAAGTGCACTAAGCCTTCCCCACAGGACTACACTCTAAGAGATGCTATGCCACTGCTGGAGTTGGGCAGGAGTGGTTGGCATACCCGTATCCAACTACCAGAAGACCTGGGTGACCCAAGGTGCAGGACCTCAGTCTCGATGAGAGCGGTGGTACTGAGTTTTCACTCATTTTGTTCAGCTTTTCCAAGGAATGATTGACTGGGAATCATCATCGATCCAAGCACGCTGGAGTGGCCTGGCCCAGAGACTTTCAGAGGTAGGTCTCCTCTCAATCCAGGGTGGGTGTTGGGGAGTGCCAGAACTGCCCAGACGTGCCCCATCTGGGAAAGGGAGGTTGCAATGGGTCCATGCATGGAAGGCAGGAGCACCTTGAGGACCTAAGTCTGCTACAGGCAGGTGCAGACTGGTCTGGAGGCACGAATGGGCACACCTCGCAGCACCACCAAGACCCGACAATGGTCAGCTCGTGCTTCCAATTCATGTCATGCTTACCTTGGTCCTCGGGCCTTCTGCTGCAAGTCACCAACACCAGTGGGCAACAGTGCGATAGGCTCAGGCTGCTGCCATCAGCCCTAGGCAAGGCCTGGGGTGTTGGGCCATTCTGTCTGCGCTGTGGCCATTGGTGCCACAGATGCAACACTGTGAAGACATAAAAGCACAGGCCCTCGATACAGTGAAAGGCATGAAACTGGCTCTGGGAGGGCTTGAGCTGGTGGGTCTCAGTGGGATGATCAGGCAACAAGTGTTCTGCCAGCTCCCCTGCTCTGTCCAAACCCTCAAGCATGGTTTGCCAGATGGCTGACAGCAAACTATTCAAGTCTCAGGGCTTGGCTTGAGCCTGGCACCCTCCGTGGCCTTGAAGGTGATATTTGGCCCTCTCTGCAGCCATTCAACTAATATCTGTAAGCCCAACACATCCAGCTACTGCAACACCAGCAAGCACTCTCTTACTCAAAATAAATGAATGAATGAATAGATACATAAATAAATGAATAAATAAATAAATATCATCGTGGGCTGCTCTGAATAAAGTCAGCAAGAAACCAGCTCACTGGATTGATGAACAAAGACAAGCCCACCTGGCAGTCTCAAGATCAAGGCTCAGGACTCAGCTCTCTTTGGACATGTTCCCTGAACAAACCATTGCTCCTATTCCCTGAGCAGGTCTGACAAACTGACAGCCAGGGCTACTGGCACCTGCAAACCTCTCTCTTGCTAATGCAAATGTCAAAGTGCACTAAGCCTTCCCCACAGGACTTCACTCTAAGAGATGCTATGCCACTGCTGGAGTTGGGCAGGAGTGGTTGGCATACCCGTATCCAACTACCAGAAGACCTGGGTGACCCAAGGTGCAGGACCTCAGTCTCGATGAGAGCGGTGGTACTGAGTTTTCACTCATTTTGTTCAACTTTTCCAAGGAATGATTGACTGGGAATCATCATCGATCCAAGCACGCTGGAGTGGCCTGGCCCAGAGACTTTCAGAGGTAGGTCTCCTCTCAAGCCAGGGTGGGTGTTGGGGAGTGCGAGAACTGCCCAGACGTGCCCCATCTGGGAAAGGGAGGTTGCAATTGGTCCATGCATGGAAGGCAGGAGCACCTTGAGGACCTAAGTCTGCTACAAGCAGGTGCAGACTGGTCTGGAGGCACGAATGGGCACACCTCGCAGCACCACCAAGACCCGACAATGGTCAGCTCGTGCTTCCAATTCATGTCATGCTTACCTTGGTCCTCGGGCCTTCTGCTGCAAGAAAGTCACCAACACCAGTGGACAACAGTGCAATAGGCTCAGGCTGCTGCCATCAGTCGTAGGCATGGCCTGGGCTGTTGGGCCATTCTGTCTGCGCTGTGGCCATTGGTGCCACAGATGCAACACTGTGAAGACATAAAAGCACAGGCCCTCGATACAGTGAAAGGCATGAAACTGGCTCTGGGATGGCTTGAGCTGGTGGGTCTCAGTGGGATGATCGGGCAACAAGTGTTCTGCCAGCTCCCCTGCTCTGTCCAAACCCTCAAGCATGGTTTGCCAGATGGCTGACAGCAAACTATTCAAGTCTCAGGGCTTGGCCTGAGCCTGGCACCCTCCGTGGCCTTGAAGGTGATATTTGGCCCTCTCTGCAGCCATTCAACTAATATCTGTAAGCCCAACACATCCAGCTACTGCAACACCAGCAAGCACTCTCTTACTCAAAATAAATGAATGAATGGATAGATACATAAGTAAATGAATAAATAAAAAAATATCATCGGAGGCTGCTCTGAATAAAGTCAGCCCGGAAACCAGCTCACTGGATTGATGAACAAGGACACGCCCAACTGGCAGTCTCAAGATCAAGGCTCAGGACTCAGCTCTCTTTGGACATGTTCCCTGAGCAAACCATGCCTCCTATTCCCTGAGCAGGTCTGACAAACTGACAGCCAGGGCTACTGGCACCTGCAAACCTCTCTCTTGCTAATGCAAATGTCAAAGTGCACTAAGCCTTCCCCACAGGACTTCACTCTAAGAGATGCTATGCCACAGCTGGAGGTGGGCAGGAGAAGGGGAGTGGTTGGCATTCCCGTATCCAACTACAAGAGGACCTGGGTGACCCAAGGTGCAGGACCTCAGTCTCGATGAGAGCGGTGGTACTGAGTTTTCACTCATTTTGTTCAGCTTTTCCAAGGAATGATTGACTGGGAATCATCATCGATCCAAGCACGCTGGAGTGGCCTGGCCCAGAGACTTTCAGAGGTAGGTCTCCTCTCA